TTGAATACCCAAGCAAAGCCAACTGTGCCATGCTCCCTGAAGAGTAACTGGCCTGAAAAATTCTAGAGATAAAAGCACTTTTCTTCACTGGCCGGGAAACCTAAGGCCAAGGTGCTTTTGCTGCTGCCAGTTGATAGGCAGCTCTTTCCATTTTTCAAGAAAAACAATTAGTTTATATATATGTATTACCAATTTTTTATTGTTATTATGTACATGGCATTAATGTGTTTTGAATATTGAACCTTGTTGAATTGCAGTGAAGGTTTTAACTTCGATGTTGTTTTCAGTAGTACCTTGTTCAGATGAATGTTGCTCGCCATTGACCAAAATACATGAGGTAAATAAGATGACTTCTAGGTGAAGTAAGCTGGTGTTAATATTTGCTCTAGTGCTTGAATATCCTTCCATATTTCATGAAGGTAGGCCTTTGCACAGAAGGCATTTGTAACGTCCTGCCGAAAGTGCAGCAGAATAGCTCGCAGAAAGTGTGGCTTTAAACTTCACCTGCATCAAACTTTCTAATTCTGTTTTCAGTAGTAGCTGGCCTGAAGAAGTAGTTGTTGGGGATCTCTAGAGCCTTTGCTTTCTTTACTTCATGTGATAGGAACCAGAGGTAGTTTTGTGCTTCCTGTCACAGCATTGTGCTGCGATGAAGAACCTGGTACGATCCCAACCACATTAATCTGGTACTCGTGCTTCAAGGGACATAGTGCAGAAGCGACGATGGGGTTTTATTTTAAACAAGAAATAAAAAATACCCCTAGAAATTATTGTTGACAAATAGATACTGGCTGAAGCAGGTAATTAGGTGCTCTGTCACTAATTGTAATAAAGTATCACCATGATATAGCTCAAAGCTACAGTATGGCAATGCCTGTAAAACGAGGGGGGAAAGGGATGTTGATTAGATATAAATTGATTAAGAAGCCGTCTTGGAATTGGTTGTTCGGCCATCCTTGTTGTCCTATCATGAAAGGAGGAGAGTTCAGTAATGGTTTAACTACAATTAAATCCCTCCCCTTTCTTTATGGAAACTCAACTGTAGGCATTTCAGTATTAGCCTAAACAATGGGTTTGAATATGTTAAGCCCCTAACAATTAGGGAGCAGTTTGGGGCATTGAATAATGTGGGATGATGCAATTGAACCTGACAGCTTCAACAGTCAGCCTACTCATGGGACCCGAAAGTTGTTCACACTTGGTTTCATCTCTCATCACACGCTGAGTATTAAAACCTTACTGGTGTGGAGCTGAGACAGAAATGAGGCCTGTTATCAGAAAATATTTCATAGCAGAAAACTTGAAAGGAACAGGGGAATAGGCATGCTCAGAGTTTCTCAAATTTTTGAAACCTAATCTGATTGTATACAGCTACGTATCGTCTCAGCTTTCTCCCCATTGGAGAGTTTTTTTTGGTGTGGGTGGTTTTTTTTTTTTTCGTGAAGAAAATGTAACTTTTGAAATTAAGAGACTGTTTTCCCAGAAAACTTGAGTAAATGTCCAGTTAGGAATGCAAATAGTTGTCAGCTTGGGAAACGTTATGGTCACACTGTTACAGTAACAACCATTATGGAGTGCTGCCAGCAAATACAAACCTATTTCAGATATTCCAGTGGATAGTTATATATACAAGTTAAACTTGGTTAATTTGCAAGTCTAGTTCCTCAGTTAGAAGAATATATTTGCACTTTCTTGCTGCAGAGGAAGTGTTTTTAAGCATCAATCAAATATCAATCATTTATTCTTATTGCACTCGGGCATTCTGTGAGTTACGGTGTATCTTCCTTCTGTGCTGCTCTGCTGCTTATTGCTTTACTGATTTATTGAACATGCCATAAATGAAAGCAGTGTATTATATACCTCTGGATGGGCTTAAATCCTTCGGCTAAAATCTTTTCAGGAAAATTTGCTGCCTTTTCAAAATAAATACTTGGCAATCTCTTAATTTTATTAGTGGGTACATTTTGATCGTGCATTGTGTTGACTGTTTAAATAGAATCAGGTGAAATAAGGAACACTGCAGCTTTAAAAGTTCTGCATTTTAGAACATGTTTCAGTCCTGTGACCTTAATATGTATTGACAGGATGATTGCGCATTTTTAATAAATGCTTGCTACAGCTTGTTTCGACTGTGAATGAAACATGAAGCTCCTATTTCACCTTTAAATAATGTAGCACTCCTCCACCTCCTCTACTTTCCTGTCAGATGAAGTCGTCACATACATAATAAAGCTTCGCAAATCGTTATTCTTGTCATTTTACATTGCCATTAAAAAAAAAAAGTATTTTAAAAGTTTTTTATTTACCTCCGGCTTACTTGAGCAATTTTATTAACGTGACTTTTTCCTCTGAGGGTCTCACAGGATACATGATGGCACCAGAACTTTTCTACTTCCATCTTGTTGTAGGACACCTTTACTATTATTGTAAAGTATAAACAGGGGTTAAGTTTGGGGTGAACCACCACTTGTGAAAAAACTCAAGTTCTCAGTTATTGTTTAAATCATGCTAAGTCTTTTGATGTGTTCTATCAACCCACTTAGCAAACATTGTTTAATTCCTTTGATGTCTTTCGTTTTGTGATGTGATGGCTACTCAACAGACTTTAGCAACTCCTTTCAAGATACTTAGATACTTTTAGAAAGTTCTTAAAGCTCTTTGGGCATGTTTCAGTCAAATAAACATGTATTCTCCTTGCTGATTAGAGCTGCCCTGCCTTCATAAATTAATATATAGTTGCTATCGCACATTTTTAAGCAGCTTTGCGGTGAGTTATAGAGAGTGACAGTAAATACAGCAGCTTCTGTGTAAAACGTGAGCGGTGTGCTTACTAGAATTAAGAGAAATCTCTTTCAGAAACATTCAAGAGCTAAACAGAAATAAGACCTGGTGTTTGTTGTTTAAAAAAAAAAGGCACAAACTATACTAGTAGAATTCATAACCTCGGCCAATGTGAAATGAAGTATGTGTAGACTTTAATTTTGCTCGTCTTAGGTATGGAAGCAGATAAGGGGTGAGTCTTGTAATACTCCATTCTGTAAGGTTTCTCCAGTGAAAGGATTTAACAAAAAACTTATTTTTGAGGTTGGTTTTGGTTTTGAGAGGACGAGCTGGAGCTTGCTAGCGAATGATGATAGTTGAGTTGGAATCACGCTACAGGCGTTTATTAAGGAAAAGAGCAGGAGCTCTGCAGTGTTGCCACCTTCGTCAGGAAGTGTCGCAGTCCTGAGACCTACTGTGTTTCGGGAAGCTGTTATACCTCGGCAGGTGGGAATGCCTGCGTTTTATTTTTAAGACTTAAAAATAATTCAGTTTAGTTCTACTAAAGACATGCGATTCTTGAAAAGAAAAAAGGAGTAACAGCCAGATTTGAAGTGTGGTTCTATGTCTAGAAATCTTGCACGTAGCATTCAACTGAAGTGAAAAAACCTGATCCTTGTAAGTAATAACTTGTGGCTTTTTCTAACTTTGTGACAGTAGAAGAATATAAGTATCAGGCACAATTTCTCACCCGTATATAGTAAATAAAGCATCATTGAAAACAGTTGTGTGAATTCATAAAAGTCCATTCATCAAGTTTAATATATTGGCTGAAAGCCAAAACTTAATGGTAGTGTGTGATTCTTTCCAGAGACATAGTTTATACTCTGTAATATTTTGCTGTAATAACCAGTATGTTTCCCCTGTCTCCTGTGTGCAGTTATACATGTCAAAATGTCCCGCAAATTGAGTTCCTTACTGTTCACCTTCCCCTCCCCCCCCC